ACATGGTAAGGATTTCTCTTTTTTAATGTTTGTATTTGGAAAGTAGCTGGACTTTCTTCAACATGGCACTGCTAACTGCAATGGGTGAATACATCTACAATAACTGCATATCAAATTCTTTGAAAGACAATTTACTATTAATGTTTTGCCATTTGAAAGTTCATAATGTGGGTTTTTTCCACCATCTTTGATATAAGCTTCATTGAAAGATTTACTAAAATACATTTTAAAAAACATGAAAGGAGGGAGAGGGTACAAAAACAACAAAACTAACGTTAACCAACGTCAGTTAATAACAGTGCAAATGGTAATATAGTCACAGATTAGGTCACTTGACACCAGGTTGATTATAAATGAGTCATGTTTTTATTGACTGGTTCATAAATTAATACGAACTACACAACAAATAACTTGGCACTTATTGATTTACACTGCCAACCCTTTACATGTGGCGTCTTTGTTCTAGCCACCAGAAGATGATGGAGAGGCCAGTACTTCAAGTTTGCACACTGTCAATCATCCTCCTTCACCTGCATCAAGCTCAGATACACTATCTTCCTCTGATGTCACAAGCCTCCCTCCTGCTCCTAGTCCACTTGGGACATCATCACATGAGAAAAAAAGAGGAAGCGAAGCCAGGAACCAAATCCAGTTGACACTGCACTACTCTAGAGGCTGGAAGAAATTCGCAAGGAGACTCAGGCAAACAAAAACATGTATACAAATTTCACAACCTACCTAAACAGCTGTGTAAGCTTTTTCAGATTACACAGTGGTTACAAACAAATCTTAGCTTGGACGTTTTTGTTTAAAAGGTCCCATATTTTATGTTCATTTGCACTTTATTTTTTGTTTACATGAGGTAACACTGTTTACACTGCAAAAACTAAAAGTCTTACCAAGAATATTTGATATTTTGAAATAAGTAGAAAAATCTGCCTGTGGAGGCAAGTTTTTTTCTTATTACAAGCAAAAAAATCTTGCTCCACAGGCAGATTTTTCTACTTATTTCAAGTGAAAATTTGGCGAGAAATGAAACATTTTGGCTAGAAATAAGACAAATATTCTTGGTAAGACTTTGAGTTTTTGCAGTTTATTGATTTGTTTGTGGAGCTCACATTCTGTTATGAATTGTTTACATGAGCCCAGATTTGTGCACTTTATTGTTTTATGGAGCTCATATTCCAATGCTTGTTATGAATTGTTTACATGAGCTCACACTGTTTTATTTATTGTTAACAGTAGATTACACTGTTATCTCTTGTAATTTGCCAGTTCTTTCATTGAATAAAAGTTTCTTACTGGCCTCTTTCTGTAGATGTCGTATTTGGTAAAGTACATGAAATTCTATATTAAGCATGCTGACTTTTTAAACTTTTTAACCAGGAAATGAAACTTCGAGATAAGGAATCTTAATTTCCCACGTAACAGTGGTTTAAGTGCTGTTTATCTTTGGACAGTAATGGAGTCTAACTATTTACATTTAATCAAGTGCTATCCCTTGGATAAAACACAAATTATCACCATGTTTTCATTTTACTTAATTGACAAGGTTGAACTTGAAATGGATTATGTGCTGTACTGAGCTATTGTGTTCAGGCTTTTGTGGCCTTTTTAATGTAATGTGCCTCGTTGGACGACAGCATCCTGCCAAGTCACACTTCCCTCATCAGTAAGGAAGTAGTCTTTGAATTGATCACAAACAGCCATGTCATCCTGTGTTGCTCTGGCTGTAGTGAAGCGCTGCATGTCCAGAAGGTTAGTATCTCCCTGAATCGCCTGCCGCCATTCTCCAGGTGCACCCTCTGTGTCCATCAGTAAAGGAGCGATGTACCTTTCAGCTTCTGGCTGGAACTGATCTGCATCACAAAGATAATTTTGCAGAGCAACGCATGCCTTTGTGATATCCTGCGCAGTTTCAACGGAACACTCCAGGGCCCTTCCAAATACTCTCCACCTCGCTGCAAGTATGCTGAAAGCGTTCTCTACAACTCGCCTGGCCCTGGAATGCCGGTAATTGTAGGTTCACTGATCAGCTGAGAGGTGCAACCCTGTAAAAACAATATTGCTGTTAAAACCTGCATGATCATTTGTTTTCTGGGACAAATTCTTTAGAAGGAAAAAAGGTCGATAAATGAATAATAAAAAAAAATTAATTGGTTACAAAAACTAAAACCTATGTCATAATTAATGCTGACAGATTATGCTGGATACATTTCTACTAACAATAGCACAAATATTAATAGTGAATTAAAAGAGAACAACAAAGCCACAATACACTATGCCATTAACAACAGATTTAAAACCTGATTTAATTGATAAATGTCTTTAGTATTGTGTATCTCTTTGTATTGTACTGTTACAATGTGTAGGGTGTACTGACCTGAATAGGGTCGCATCAGGTTCACTTTCTGTGGGAATGCTTCATCACCTACAAACACAGCTGGAGTGATGGTCTCAGTCCCAGGCAGAGGAGCTGGGGGTGGGAGATGAAGCGTGCCTTTGATGAGCTGGGATCCAAAGTGGCTCCTCGAGAAGACGCCAGCATCACTGTCTCTCCCATAAGCTCCGATATCGACGTACCTGAATTTGTACTTTGCATCACAAGCTGCCATTAAGATGAAGCTGAAGTAACCTTTGTAGTTAAAAAAAACTTCTACCACTGTTGGATGGTGCTCTCACTCTCACGTGTTTTCCATCTATGGCCCCGATACAGTTGGGATAATTCCACAGCTCCCAAAAGTCTCTCCTGATCGCCTCCCACTGTTCTCCCTCTGGAACAGACACAAACTCATCCTTGAGCGCAATCCATATTGCATGGCACACCTCCCTGACAATGCAGCTCACAGTTGCAGAACCCAGCTTGTAACTTGCTGCCAAAGCTTGCTGACTGATTCCTGTAGCGAGAAAGCGCAGGGTGACAGCTAGTCGCTCTACGCAACTTGTCATGCTGGATGTGGGGGGCCACCCGGCGAAGCAAGTTGTCAAATGCGATGTAATTAACGGCCTCACCCACCACCGAGGTGGTGGTGGGTGAGGCCGTTAATTACATCTACAATGCTGCCTGTTTCTGTCTTCTATGCAACAGGTACATTATCACAATCTCCTCCACAGTCGCCATGTTTGTTTCTGAGTTTGTTGTTGTCATGAACTTTTGATTCTGGGCTGCCCCCTGGTGGTTATATTGGTTAACATCCATGCCAACGTAAAGGACGCATGGAAATATGTGGGCAGTGACGGTAACATCGTTTGAAACGGACGTATACATTTTCATACGTAAAGGGAGTATAAATGAGCCCTTAGTCCCTCCCATTGGTGTGGCTTCACCCGCAGAATAAGTGTACATCTAATGCTCAACACAGCAGACTACAACTCCATAGTGATCGAACAGTAATACAAGTGCATAATGAACTCTTAAGCTAGGTCCCACCAACAGTTCTAAAAATAAGTCATATACAGCTGAAAAAGAGCAACGCCATGATTTGGTCACAATATCACTACTGTTTACCCCTGAGAAGTCACCCTTTGTCTATATGGAATCCCTTACATACATACATAAGGAAGGGGTCCACTGTAGGCCGATCAGTAGGAGCACTGACTTGATCACATGCAACACTGCCGAGCACTTAGCCACTATTTGAGCTCCCTTGGGTGGCAACGCTCCACATCACATCCAAAAGAAAAATTAAAACTAGACATGGATGAAACCATGGTCTCTCACAGTATTACCTCACTTTTTACATGTGTACCGACTTCTGAGGTAGACACCCCTGGGAACAGAACCAATCTCAGTGGGAGCAGCACATTGTCAAAAATGGTGCTGAATTCCCTTCACCTGTACACTACCTAGTGACAATCAACAATTTTTTAAATCAGAATTCCCCAAAAACCTCCTTTGATTGAGGCATGGCCCACTTCCACAATCTTGTGTGGTGAAGAGCGGACTTTGATAGCAACCACCCAGGTTTATATTCTGTCATTAATGCAGGGACTGCTAAACTCACACCAGAATTTGGTCACAGACATCCATAGTACATGTTAAAGAGCACAAGCAAACAACTGTGTTTTTACACTCCCCCCTCCACATATGCATTTTACAAACATTGCAGTGTACAGTCTGGCTTTTCCATTTCACTATTGACTCAGATTGATTATCCTCATATCCTCACTCTGTTTCTCTATCACTATCTGTTAACATGTGGCCTTGTGGTTTCATTACAATACTGGGAGACATATTAGTTAAAACACAGCACACTGTCACAATCTTATCTATGAAGGAAAATTCATCGCCCTCAAGTGGAACCAGTAGGCTCACCGGTATGATGCCGGTAGCGCCAGTAGTGGTTGATAACAACCACCCAGGTTTATATTCTGTCATTAATGCAGACTGTTAAACTCACACCAGATTGTCATCCTGTTGATTGAAACATTTGACTCTGATACCCTTTAAAATGCTGATAATCCTGGAGGATACTTTTTCCAACAAAGCTGGATAATGTTGGATAATTTTAGTAAATAAATAATTGAATAAGTTTAATTGTTTTTGTATTATTTGTTAAACTGAGTTGGCTTTATCTAGTTTTAGGACATGGGTAAAGATCTGAGCACATTTTAGGTCACATTAATGCAGAAATACAGTGAGTTCTAAAGAGTTTACAAACTATTTTTACAGTGCATCTGTCATCTTGGCTATTGGAGGGATTATCCGGGGTTACCAGATTAATTCATGATAAATATCCAATTTGCTTGCTCATGATGTTGTTATACTCTGTGTAGTCATGACAGACAGTCTGTGCAGTTTAAATGCTCTTTGCATACTGATTTGTGTATTCTCCTCCAACCCTTGATGGGTATGTATGTTTGTCACCTACTGTCATGCATTTCCAAGTGTATGGAAATGAATACTGGGGGTTTGCTGTTACGAGCATCACATTGCTTACTAAAGACAGAGGCAAATCCCATTAGAGATCATATCAGATTGATGAGAGGTTACTACAACAATGAAACATTTTCTTGCTTTTCTGTGTCTACTGGGGACATTTCTACGTGTCTCGGCTCAATGCACTGCCCAAGCGTCAGAGTTTCAACTTCAAGGAGATTATTTGTTAGGTGGACTTTTTGACATTCATCATGTCAGTGACCCCGTTTATCAAGACGGACCAGAAGCCAGTGACTGCTCCAGGTGAGTTTCATAATACATAACACATAACACTGATGACATACGCTTAATGTAACTGAGCATACCCTATTTGAACACTGAAGAGCTTTATTTCAAATGCTAGGTCAGTAGCTAGTCGCACTTTTCCCCCCTAACTCAAAAGAATTAATTGTTGCATTACCAAAGTTGCTGTATAACATTAAATCTGACCTCGGTCCTGGGTCCATGAAATCCCCTTTTGTTGCAACCATTTCTGTGCAGAGTTCTGATGATGTTAATTGAAAGGTAATCCTCCTCTCCTACTTTCCAATATCCGTTCACAGCCAACCCTTCATTCTGCCAAGCTATCGAAGGTTTCAGTTGATGAGATTCTCTGTAGAGGAAATCAATAACTCCACCAGCCTCCTGCCAAATGTATCTCTTGGCTATGAGATATTTGACCACTGCTCAGAGACACACACTTTCCCAGGAGTTTTGAAACTCCTCTCAGTCGATAACTTGATCCAACCTTGGGGTGAACCATACAAGAATCTGTCCGAGGTGATGGCACTGGTCGGCCCTTTTTCAAGCACTGACACTCTGACTGTAGCTCCACTGTTCATGGTGGATCTCATTCCTGTGGTAAGTTTGCCAGCTATTTGGGTTTGAGATTTTTTTCCAGTTCAGTCATCAGTTAATAATAATAACTTTTTTTTAGTTTTAAAAAAACTGAAACAAATCTTAACATCTAACATTTGAAAAAGTATTGTTACTCCAAGTTTTGACAATTTCTTCATTACTCCTCTATCAGGTCAGTTATGGAGCTGCGTCCTCTGCCTTTACAGAGAAAGCGAAATATCCCTCTTTTCTACGAACAGTGCATTCCAATAAAGATGTCATAGAAGTGATTGTTAGCATCATACTGCGCTTCAAATGGCGCTGGGTTGCTTTTCTTAACAGCGATGATGCTTTTGGCAAAGATGGACTTGAAATGTTCATCAGAAGGATTAAGGATACTGACATCTGCCTTGCATTCACCAAAGGTCTCAACGACAATACAAATGACTCCCACGTATTTGAACACATAGAGGCGCAGAAGATACACGTTGTCGTTGTTTTCGCTCCAAAACTGAGTGCTGAAGCTCTCATTGAGTCAGCAATGCAACTAAATGTCACTAAAAGGGTGTGGATAGCAGGGGACACCTGGTCCTTAAGCAAGAGGCTCCCCAAGGAGGAAGTGATCAAAAGTATTGGGACTGTACTTGGAGTGTCTCAGCCAGTGATAAAAATACCTGGTTTTGATGATTTTATCCGTTCTTCTAGAAGCCAGGCTTATTGTGAAAAGGCAGAACAAAATTTGTTTTGTAATCAGGCTTGCAATTGCAGCAGCCTGAGTGCAGAAGAAATCCTTGCTGTGGACCCATCTTACTCTTTTCCTGTTTATTCTGCTGTATACGCCATCGCTCACGCCTTACACAATGTCCTGCAATGTGGAGCTGGCAGATGCACAGACAATATTACAGTGTACCCACACAAGGTAAGTGTACAAATAATGTTTAAGTTTGTTTTTGTTTATGACAGCTTTAACCATTAGATGAGTATCATAACTTGGGGCGTCGGTGGCTTAGTGACAGAGCAGGCGCCCCATGTACAAGGCTGTTGCCGCAGCGGCCCAGGTTCGAGTCCAGCCTGTGGCCCTGCATGTCACTCCCTCTCTCTCTCCCCCTTTCACACTTAACTGTCCTGTCCATTAAAGGCAAAAATGCCCCAAAAAAAATCTTTTAAAAAAAAAAAAAAGAGATGAGTATCATAACTCAACATACACAATGTATATGTGTTTTGTCATATGTATTATATAAAACTTTACATCATATGACTGAACCTGATGTTTCTTTCAAATATTGCCTTGCATTAAAAATCTCGGGCATGAAATTTCACAGATAGTAAAAGTCTACAATGTACCACATCCTGTCTGGAGAGAAAGAGACAAAAATGGGAACATCAAACAGCAATGTTTCCCTCCCCAGGAATAAAAACCTAATGAAATCAAATAAAATAATGGTCATCCAAACTTTGTGTACCCAAATCAGGTTCTTGCAGAGCTGAAGAAGTCAAACTTTACTCTTTTAAACCACAATATTCAGTTTGATGAGAATGGTGACCCAACATTCGGATCATATTCTATAGTTTTCTGGAACCACAGTGGTGATGCGGAGGAGATCGGCTTTTTTAAATTCAACCCATCAGTCAATTTTTTCATCAACGACAGCAAAATTCAGTGGTACACAAACGGAGACGTAAGTTGTTTTTTTTTCCTAATTATGCATGGTATAATGCAGTATATCACCTACTTTGCTACTAAATAATTGTCTTGTGCAGGTGCCTACTTCACTGTGCTCCCAAGAATGTCTTGGAGGATATGCAAAAAAGCAAGATGGAATCCACGAATGCTGCTTCGTTTGTAAAATCTGTGCGAATGGAACTTATCTCAACAGCTCAGGTAAATTACTATTTATGAGAGAAAGAGAATTAATTAAAAACAATGGCCCTGGTGGGAGTTAATTTCAGACTATTGTTAAGCATTTTCAGTAGCTGAGAGGGTTTTACATTCATTTTGTGCTGATTGGACACATATAAGCTTCAATTTCCACCCATCTGCCATGAATAAAAACTAAACTTGAGCCTGATCAGTGAAAGATGAGTACGACTGTATCAGAAATCACTCACTACTCACTGTTAGTGGGGCAGCATAGTTCAATATTTTTCTAGAATTGTTCAATTTTGTGATAAAAGCACCAAATTTGGCAGATGTGTTGACAAATATATTTAGAATAAATCTGGATATTGGGGCATCAAAAACTCGCCCCCTGGTGGCCAGAGCAGGCAATTGAATCCTACCTGCCCATGGACCCGTCCCGTTATCCACTCCAAAATGTAATGGCTTCTAAAGCCTACTTTACACTACATGGTTCAAGTGACCTCAAGTGGCACAGATCGGATCTGTAACATGAACGTGTAAACAGTAAAAAAAACACATGATATCAGATATTGTCAGATCAGATTCAGGCCTCCTTCATATGTGGAAATATATCAGATATGAATCAGATATCTGGCAATAGGTCTGTAATCTAAACAGACAGATCGGATATTTCCTGGCAATCCACGTCGTACGTCATGAATAATGCGATGACAGCGCATTTTGATGACGTGCTCATGAGCGAGGGAAAGGAAGGAAAGCCGAATAAATCGCACGTTAATCAAAAACTATGAACCAAAAAAAGCACAATCTATCCCAAGTAAGACAAACTGCTTGATCCCCATCTCCAGTGTACCAGCAGAGAACCTGCAGATTTTCAGCGAAAAAACACACCGGGGCTACACAGCCTCTCTACCTGAGCAGCTGAAGCTGCGGCTTGCACCCTCGACACACAGACACACAGACGGTGCTTCTGCTTGCCAGCCAAACGTGTGCGCAACTGTGAGAAATAAATATGTGAGGTGTACGCTGCTTTTCTATCTTTTTTTCTGTCAGCGACATACACTCCTAACACAGGACGGGTTGTTTTTATTGACTGAGTTGATTATTAAGCCATAGTGATGCGCGGATCGGCTCTGATAGCACCCGAATCAGCATGTACAAATCAATCATCCAGCCGCACCCATCTGCAGCTGCACGGACATTTCCACCACTCTGTGTAGGCTAAGTTACCTTTTAAATTATGTGGAGCAGCGCCAGCTTTCCAGGTGATTTATTCTTTAACGATTAACTTCAAATATTTAAAGTTAGTCCTTAAAATTGCTTTCAGTAATGTAAACATTTCCATGCGTGCAGTAATGTCACTGTAGCAAATACCGTGGGACATTTACGTAGTGGTCAAGAGTGGTGGACCGGAAGTGCACACGGATATAGGCAACAAATCGGAATTGGGCATCAAGACATGGTAGTGTAAAGGCAGCCTTAGTTGGACCATGCTACATGCCTCCACCAAGTTTTGTGACCAAAGTGTTCTATTCCAGTATATTAAGCTATAAATGTACCAAATTTGGCACTTTTATCACAAAAAATGAACATTTTTTTAGCTATGCCGCCCAATTAATTAGTTTGTTAGCAGAATTATACAAAAACTGCCTGACCAATTTTCACAAAATTCGGTTGTCTTCAGTTACATGATAACAAAACAGAAGTTATTGTTTGTCAACTACGAAACATTACAAAACTGAAGTCCATCATTTCTCACAAAGACATGAAATGGTATGCACTGCATTAATCTCCTCAAGGCTTGACTATTGCAACTCTCTGTACCTGGGTGCCGGCCAGTCATCTTTGTATCACTTGCAGCTGGGGTAGAATGCTGCAGCGAGACTCCCCACTGGTGCCAGAAAAAGAGACAGCATTACACCAGTGCCAGTATCTCTACATTGGCTACCTATCAAAGACAGGATTGATTTTAAGGTTCTTATATTTGTTTTTTAAGCCGTACATGGGTTGGCACCCCAGTATATTGCTGAACATATCTGTCCCTACTCCAACTCCCGACGTCTTAGATCTTCTGAACAATGTCTTTTAAGTGTCCCGCGATCGAGGCTGGTGGGTAAGGGAGATCGTGCCTTTGCGGTAGCTGCTCCTGAGCATTAGAATAGCCTTCTGCTCTCAATCAAATCCTCCCCCTCCATTGACAAATCTTGAAACATACATGTTTTCAATAGCTTTTGGTTGTAGTTTTAATATCTTAGTATTTTATAATCTTTTTATGTATGTAATTGTTCTTATCAGTTTTATTTTGTTTTAGATTTGTGTACATTTTATATTGCTATACATTTGTGTGTCATTCTTTTATGTTGTACAGCACTTTGGTCAACTGCACTTGTTTTTAAATGTGACATATAAATAAACTTGATTTTATTTGATTTCATCTTGGAGAACATACTGTACAAAATATTAAAACTGCAACACTGCTTCCTCAGCTGTCTAGATATTTTTCCACAAGTGGACTTTAACTTTATTGACAATCTCTCTGTCTCTCACGTAAAACAGGGGATCCATATAAGTGCATCGCCTGTAAGGAGACAGAATGGTCTGCAGAAGGAAGTACATCATGCAGTCTGCGGGTGGTGGAGTACATCCCATTCACAGACAGTGGGGCCATACTGATTATGACCGGGGCCTGGGCATTTGTGGGCCTCACACTAACCATGTCTGTTCTCTTTGCCATCAACTACAACACACCTGTTGTCAGATCTGCTGGAGGACCAATGTGCTTCCTGATTTTAGGCTGCTTCAGTCTGTGTAGTCTCAGTGTGTTCTTTCACTTTGGTAAGCCAACAACCTCCTTCTGTATCTTAAGGTTGTTACCATTTTCATTGTTCTATACTGTTTGTCTAGCATGTTTTGTTGTGCGCTCTTTTCAGATTGTTTGCATTTTCAAAATAGCTGTCAGGTTCCACAAGATCAGCAGCTGGTGGATGAAATATCATGGACAATGGCTGGTCATCACTGTGGCATTTGTTACTCAGGCACTCTTACTTATTATTGGCTATACTTATGCTCCCCCCAAACCCTACCATGACACATTGTGGTCCCATGACAAAATCATACTTGGTTGTGACATTAATCTCAAAGCATCCTCTGGTTCTGTAATTTTACTTCTATCTTTGTGCTCCCTTTGCTTTATTTTCTCCTACATGGGTAAAGACCTCCCAAAAAACTACAATGAGGCCAAAGCAATAACCTTCTGCCTGCTCCTGCTGATCCTCACCTGGATCGTCTTTGCAACTGAATATGTACTTTACCGTGGCAAGTACATCCAAACACTAAACGCTCTGGCAGTACTCTGCAGTCTCTACTCCTTTCTGTTGTGGTATTTCCTCCCAAAATGTTACATCATCATTTTCCAACCCCACAGAAACACGCAGGAATACTTCCAAGGTCTCATTCAGAGTTATACCAAAACAATCAGCCAGTAGCAACTTCAAGTAAATATGCATCTCTAGAGACAGATGGTTTTTCCACAGGCCTCCTGCTAATAATCTTGCCTTTTAGGGTACATTGTAATTTGAGTCTTTGTCTCTTGTACTTTTCTTTTAAGAGTTAAAACTAATGTTTTTTATTGTATTTTTCTTATTTTTGAGCAATATATCAATAAACAAAGCCTTGGAATGAGCTAAAGTTACCAACATTGCAACAAGAGATTATTTCAGAGATGGTTGGCATGGTCCTTTTCCTAAACAGAGGCTTTTACTAAAGATTCCCAGCAGTAGCCTTAATATATATGGGTAGTACCTTTAATCAGTAACTGGAAATGCTGCCTTCTTCTGATTGTCATTTTAGAAGATACTCAACTGCACAGGTCTCATTCAACATTTTAAGAAATATGCTGATTCTTCTTCTTGCAGTAAGTTAGGTGAGGAGCTTGAGAGCAGAATAAATCTCATGTAACTCACAGCAAGAAAGCAAAAAGTATATCTCAAAATGCCAACTTATAGCAAGCAATTTGCATATAAAGCTGTATGAGTTAGAGTAGAATGTCCTTAATGCAAGACCTGTCTGGCCTTGCAAGGATGGAATCATCCACGTTTCATATCTATAACAATTTCTCTTGTGAGGAATATGAATGTGCACTCTTCTTGCATTCTTCTTTCAAAACCTAAACTTCTGCAATACTGAACCACTCATCAGCTCGGGTCAGAAATGTACTTACACAGAAGAAAGAGGTGTTGTTGAAGTTGAATCTTTGCACTTAGACAACCAATACAAGAGAATATGTGCTTGATATATTTTTGGCATGTGAGTTAAAACATGTACAACTGTAAGATTCAATGTACACTAAATGTGCCCATTCTTATCAAGTCTCATTAGGTTATGCCGCTGGACATTACACAACAAATAACAAAGTCAATGCATGAATAAAGTCGATTCAGTAATAAAATGTAATCTGTGTTTGTTTTTTGTTCCAACACTAATCTTATGGCAACACATCTACATGCTAGACTACTGTAAGATCACATAAACTTGTACGGCTTAAGTTTACCAAAACGTCAACACAGATTTATTTTTACCTCTGGTGGTGGGAGCTTAAAATAAGGGTACATTGATGAAGTATAATCAGGTAATCACCACTAAATTTGGTGCCTAACTGAAATCTTTGATCAGTGTATTCCCTCTATTGTCGCATGAAATAAGTGTGCATTTTAGAAAAAAGTTTAGATTAAACTGGACAGACAGAGACAAATACACTAGCACTACATCTATAAAGTCAAACTTCATCTTAACATACCAGGAAACAAAAGCACAGTCACTGTTCCAGTAACACTGCTGATAATAGAGCAATGAACCTCTTAAAACTAAAGTGCTAACATCACAGCAATGACTGCTTCCTCCAAACACTGTTGTGAAGTACTGTATGCACCTTATTGTCCTACCCAACTTTTCTTATATACTTTAAGTATAGATTGTGAAATTTTTTCAGAGTAATGTCAAATTGACAGTAATTATGTTACTATATGGGGTTAATATGCGGGTCTCGATTTACAAATACCTTGGAGGTGAAATTGATGACCCCATTAGATTTAAGGAATATGCTTCGAGAAAATGTTTGTTCAAAATCATGCCAAACTGTAGCAGATGATCATGACAGTGGTTAGGATCATTGGGGGTTGATCCAGGGCTGTTTCAAGACACTCTGGGGGCCCCAGGCAAGAGGCACCATTTATAAAAAGATAAATCACTTTTCTATAGGCCTAATACATCAGTGATATTTCAGTGGAATAAATTACTTATTGACTTATTCATACTTCAAAAACAGCATCAATAAGTGATTAACATAGCGGGGATCAAAATAAAATAAATAAATGAAATAAAATCAACCAGTCACCCTCCTCCCCTGACAAGTAAAGAACAGTCCCTTCACAAATAAAGAACAGTCCCTAAAGTGCGGTGAGGTTTGTGGGCCGTTACCTGCCACAAAGAGAGAAATGTGAACGGCTCGTTTCCCCTCTGACACATCACATACCTGTGTGCCGCCACGGCTCGGCTGTGCAGGTATTTCTGGGCAGTCATGAAAGCAGCATATTGAGTGCCAGGTGGCCAGCGCGCGCCGTTATTGGACGGCGCATGGACACTCACCATCTTGCGATTGGACTTTGAACTTATCCCATAGTAGTGGTACCATGAGGTACCATAGTACTACGGTACTCCAACAATGCTAGCGCAGGTGGCAACCAATCATGCGGGACATGGTCTCATTTTGCGTGACGCGTGAAAAGAGACAGAAATGCTGGACGTCTGGTCACCCTACTTAGCCACTCGCAAGCAGCAGCTAGTAGGGGGCCCCATTAGGGGGGATTCCAATGTGTTTTCGTTGTTGCAGTGTCTATAGGGGTTTCATCATATTGTCATTGATATGGACCAATGTCAGCCATCTCTGGGGGCCCCCTTCCAGCTCGGGGCCCTGGGCAATTGCCTAGTTTGCCTGTCCAGTTGCGACAGCCCTGGGTTGATCAGGTGTCTGCAGCAATGTTTTTCTAATAACTTATTTCTTAAAAAAGGCTGAACAGATCCTCAGTGATCCTACCCATTCTCTCCTGAAATTCTGAGAGTAGAGAGTAAAATGCAGAATCCTGCAGCAGAAAATTAGAACAAGGTACAGCAAATCATTTGTGCCTACAGCAGTTAGACTCCTAAATGAAGGATAAATGTGCACCTGTTTTACAAGGTCAGATTGTTTTTGTCTATAATGTACAGTACTTTGAGGTTGTATAACGTTTAAGCTGTACATTTTATTTATATTGCCAGCATTGCACATGATATGTGTTTGTGTGTTTAATAGTGTATTTACAGTGCACCTGTGTATGACCACATGAATTTGTACCTAACCTGTTATTTTCTGGAAAAGAAACCATAAATTAATACACTTTTATTCTGTTATTTGGTCTTCATGTGGTGTTTGGATATACATTTTGCTTATTATTTCTGTTTAACAGTCTTAATCAGACCATGGTAATGTAGCATTTCACTGCACATTGTACTTGTATGATAATGTTTGTAGCTAATAAAGATTGATTTGACCAAGCAGAACAAGGAGTTCTGCGCTTCTGCCAGGAGGAATTCAAATTGTGGTTAGAGTTCTGATCATTTACCATGTTCATCTCCTGAGTCATTGCAGATTTTCCTAATTTAAATGACCTGTGTGGTCCAATGTTCAATCATGCAGAGATCATTTGTAAGAGGAGGTGGTCATTTAGCATAAACCAAAGATACTGGGTTGAATTCATTTGATTTTAATTTGGGTGTATTTGCTTGTGATTTTCCTGTGTGATGTTCCAAACTCATTTTTACTTTGTGAGATTTTTTTTTTTTTTTATAAAATTACCTTCTTGGTTGGCCTGTTGGTCAATAGCCTAAAGTTGTTTTAGTTGTTCTAAAAATAACGTATCAAGAAAACACACTTAGCTAAACATCAAGAATGCAATGACAGTCTTTTGAGTGTGGAATGAAAATGATGCGTTGAAAAATGTGCCAATGCAGAAAGCAGTTGCAGAGTTGTGTGAAAACACTTCTATTCACCCTTTAAAGGCAGATGACCTGTGCTGATCTATGCGAGACCTATTCTGCACACAAATCCTCCGGTCACCTCAGTTCAATAGTCGTTTTTTACCAAGCCCAGCAGTGATGTGGGGCAGCGTGTTGTTATAACTAATTTCTCTCCTTCAGGGATAAGAAGCTACTGTATAATCATAGCAATTTGTTCTCCAGTCAATGCTTTTTACTCTAAAACTGCTGGAGCAAACCAATGCTGTATCCAAAATTTTTAAACATACAGTGCCTTGTGAAAGTATTCACCCCCATTATTATTCTTTCTATTTTGTTGCCTTACAACCTGGAACTTAAATGGATTTCAAATTTGATTTTATGTAACAATGTTTTAAATAATTCTAAAGAATACAAAACTGAAAAGTGGTGTGTGCATATGTATTCACCCCCTTGCTATGAAGCCCCATCCATTACCTTTAGAAGCCACACAATTGACCTATGGCTAAGCCACGCCCCCCTCCAATCACTCAGACAAAATATCAACATTCAATGACCAGCGCTATGGCAGGTGTCACAGTACACGACATTTCGCAGGAGGAAATTGATGATTTTTTGAGACATAACGATCACAGTTTGGGGCATCAAAGTGCCACTGAAGTTAAGGTTTTTGGCTCAGAATATGAGAAAAGGATAACAGCCTTTTTACCATCTTTATCAAGAGTGTCTCTGCGTTAGTTTGGTGCTACAGTATTTACACTGAATCATTCAGCATAACATTTGCCAACCTTTGTTATCTCTGCGATTACAGATAAGTTAATGAAGCTAAGCTCCAGAAGTTAACGTTAGCTTAACTAGAGCCCTTTGGACAACAGCTAACAATGATGCACGATCACCAAAGTACAAAAACTAGAACAACATAGGCTAATGAACTCCCAGCAAACAAGGTGACATGATGAACAACGCAGCTAGGAGCTAACGTTAGGCTAACTTTAGCTAACGTGAGCTAGAGATGTTAAAGATAACTTTATATTTCTTTCCAGCAAAGTGACAATATGTTGCCTCAAACACAATGTTGACTTACCTTAGAACAGATGTAGACATCATTGTTAATCTTATTCACGTTGAGTTGATGTTGTGGTCTAACGTTACCACACAACTTTATCCAAAGGAGACACTTTTCTCGGTTGAGATGTGGTTTAGGAAAAAGTAAAAAATACACCCTGTCGCCCAGCCTCTCAGGATACCTTGTGTCGGAGTTGCATGTACCCCATNCTAATGAACTCCCAGCAAACAAGGTGACATGATGAACAACGCAGCTAGGAGCTAACGTTAGGCTAACTTTAGCTAACGTGAGCTAGAGATGTTAAAAATAACTTTATATTTTTTTTTAAAGCAAAGTGACAATATGTTGCCTCAAACACGATGTTAACTTACC